GGAGGGGGCGCGCAAGTCCAGCCCACCCGGCAATGTCATACGCAAACTACGTCATTGTGCTTTTCAAGCTGAGGTAGAAAGGCAAGAAAAGCAGGAGGCTTGCACACACCGCACCCTGCATAGGTTTTATCAGCCATTCTTACTTCCCTTTCCCCTCCCCCCTTTCCTCTCTCTTTTTTTTATCAGACGGAAAAGGAGAAGTGGATTGTTTAAAGAGAGTGAGGTCGAAGAAGGTTGATTGTATCTCATCTTATTACGCGGACCCAACGATCGAGGAAAGGGACGAAAGAAAGAGAGAGTATTCAAGAGAAAAGAAGGGTAAAATCGAATAAGCCATCATGTCTAATGTTCAGGAAAAGCCGCTCAATGAGTAAGTATAATATGAGTAAATTCAGCGCAGAGCGCAGTAGACCGAAACGTCGTTTCTAATAATGGATGAACAGGCTCCTCTCACGCTCAATGGTGGACATCTACGTCGGACCCGAAAACACACACTGGATCCTTCACGAAAAGCTCCTCTGCCACCACTCGCCCTTCTTCCGCAAAATCTTCTACTCCAAATCCTCCACCTCCTCGCGCACTCAATCCTTTGGCCTCCCAGATGAAGAAGACCTCCCCTTCAAAACCTTTGTCGGCTGGCTCTACTCGTCCAGCCTGCCTGTGCCGCGCGAGGAAGCCGACCTCGGCACAGCCTTCGATCTGTACCTGATGGCCGAAAAGTTCGAGATCCCCGCCCTGGTCGCCGACGTCCTGCAGGTCGTCCGCGAGTGGTACAAGTACAGCGATTCGTACCCTGGACTCCGCCGTGTACAGTATATCTACGCCAACACCGAGGAGTCGAGCCCCATGCGCCATATGCTTGTCCATGCCGTCGCGCGCATGATGGTGGTGGCGAATACGGGCATCCCGCCGCACTGGGATAAGGCGCTGCGCAAGAACGGGCAGCTCGCTGTTGACATTATCCGCGCGATCCAGGACTGGCGGCTTGACGAGGAGACGGTGCCCGATGCGCGTGAGGAGCCGGCCGAGGGTGAGGAGCTTGTGGATGTGGAGGGCGAGACGAGCAAGTTGGATGAGCAGGCGGAAAAGGAAATCGATCCTAAGATCGCGGGGAGGGACGATCCTCCGGCGTCATCATCTTCTGTGTCTGCGGATGAGAGTGCTGAAGACTCTGAGGACACGGTTGTCGAGTCCCCCGTTGAAGAGACCAAGGGCGTGCAAGGCGCTGTCAAGGGGAAGAAGGAAGATGTCAAGGCTAAGACGGCCCCGGTTCTCGAGAAGGAGTTTGGCAAGTTTAGCTTGAACGAGCGGGGGAACGCGGATTATGGTACCCTCAAGGCGTAAGAAGTTGTGCGCCTCTTGCTGCTGCTAGTTGAAGACGGGAGGGGGGGAAGAAAAAGGAAGAGTGTGAGGGATCATCTTCACACATTCCAGCACTCCCTTCTCTTTCTACGAGGCTTGGGGAAAAAGAAAAGGAAAAGACTTTAGGTGGTGAAGGGGGGACATGGCAAAAAATGGGAGACTGGGAAGCTGTGCCACTCTACACTGGACATTTTTTTTGGTTTATTTTTCTCTTTTCTTTCCTTTTCTCTTCTCCAGGGGGAGGGGACTCTCAATTGGGTATAAGCATATGTAATAGCTTTCCTCTTTTCCTCTCTATTCTTCTCCTCCCCCCCCTTTTTTTTTCTTCTTGTTCTTCTTCTTCTTCTTCTTCTTACCCGTGGGGTTCAAGATTGCCAAAGTTGTTGTAGCCATCTTGTTTTGTCTCTCTGTATTGTTTAGTTGTGCTTTCTACTACAGTGTTTTATTAGCATGGTATGAGGTAAAACGCATGAAATGAATTAAAACGTTTGCCAACTTGAATTTCGTCCGTGAAATTTTGATCTACATTAGTGATTCAGAGACATTTGCATATACTTCTTCTCTCCTCGCACATGTCGAGTAATTTGCAAAGTTGAAGAGCATTCCAAATATGCATGAGGGAGGCTGGAAATTTGAGTTTGATGCTTGCATGAGGCCGTGGATCACAACATTTATTTTACTTCCCGGTATAGAAAATCAATGCATTAAAGTTTGTTCCATTGCCTGCCTTTTTTTTATTTTAGAAAAGGCAAACAACAAGGGTTATTTTTATCGCATTGCAAGGGCGGGAGGCAAAGGTTCAATTGTCAATGCACCATCCATGGATGGAGGAAACCCCCTGAATCAGGCAATCCATGACGAGTCATCTACCCCTAGGACCATATTCGGTAGGGGATGTTCATAGTAATGTCGGCTTGACCCGACGATCAGTGTATACCTACATTGACGATAACAATAAGATACCTTGCGATAGCAGTACTTTTGTCGGAATGGCGACTGATGCAGCCGTCTTACCAGGATAGAGTTTCCGGGGTAATGCGGAAAGCTAATCATCAAGGGGCGGCGAAAAAGGGCATAGTTTGTTTGTTTAGGGTGGTTGTGATGGCCGAGAATGGATGCGCAGCTCCGGATTGAGAGGGGAATAGTGGTTGGCGGTGACGAGGGTGTGAATAGAGTAGCTGAGAAGCATATTGTCGTCATGGACGGCATAGCGCGATGACATGAACTATCAATGTGTTGAGAGAGTGGCCAATTTTATTTTGTCGTGGTAGGTTTTTTGTTTATTGTCCGCTCGGATTTGGCAAGACGAGAGCCGGCGATGCTACAAGCAGTCTGCTGTGCATCGTGGACCACGGCCAGCTCAGGGTCCTCGGTGACACGGCATGGATAGTGCGGTCATGCAACGGTGTTTTTGAAACGGTCCTAGGCGAGATGCAAAGAGGCCGGTAATGAAAGCTTGTAGCATCAGGAAGGTACTTGGTTATACAAGATCTATACGTGTTAAAGTTGTTTTTGCGGATGAGGGAGTTTGCTGGAGCTAATGACGATCAGTGGAAACATGCATGGGGGGCTTTTTGCGGAAGGCGTCCGCAAAGTTTGCGTAGTCGTTGGAGTGGAGCCCCAAAGAGACGAGGCGCATGGCAGATTACAGCCCTGTGAGACTGAACACGAGGGCAGAGTATTGGTGCAACGGCAACAGCAAAGAATTTGGGACGGCAGACGTGGGCGGAGCGAGTACCGAGTGAAGAAGGTGGGACAGGCTTGGGAAGTGGGAATGGTAGTACGGAACCGGTTGTTGTCTAGAGGCGGCAGGAGGCGTTGTTTGGGTCGTGTGAGTTGAAGAAAAAGGCCATGGAGTGCTTCATGTTGAGAGGGTCTAAGGAGCCGGACCGAGATCCGGGACGGGCTGGGAGCGTTTGGGCGGGCGCCAAGGACGTCAAGGTGAGACTATTCGCGAGTTTGCAGCAGCAGCCAAAGACGAGGCACTGGTAGGGGCGTGATTGGCGATTGGCAGTCACAATAAGCCGAGGACCGAAAGGGGAAGGCCAAACGATCTTTTGCCGGAGTGGCAGCTAGCGGTGACACAGCCTTATCTTATCCTAGCGCGTGGGTTGGATACAGGCAGAGATGGAGAGACAGGCAGACCCACCGGTTCCAGGCGGAGGAGGTAGCTTTCAAGCCGGACCCGGTAGGCTGTTGCGACGCAATGCAGCAGGCGGGCGGAAGCGAGAGTAAGGGAGGGTGATATAGACAGCCGAAGGGAATGCTAAGCGTCGGGATGGGCGGTGGATGTCGAGGTGAGATGAGTGGTTTGTTCATGCGAAAGCTGGAAGAGGCAGTCGCCAACGGCGAGTGCAGGGGAAGGAGGGGAGGGGGAGGGGACAAATAGGGCAGGCACCAGGTGGATGTTTGTCGATGGTTGCTTACTGTGGTGAATACATTACCATACGTAGGTACGTACGTACTACGTAGATAATTTACAAGGCGACGTCAGTGAGCATGGTGGACACAGACAGACAAGCCAAGGAGGGGCGGGCACGGGCTAGGGCAAAGTATGTTGGGTGTAAGTGAGGAAGGACATTTGTTGGAGGCGTTGTGTTATTCGACAGGCGAAAAAAAGGGTCCAGCAGGCGGCGGCGGCGTGGCAGGCGCGATGGACAGCGGTCAGTCGGGTGTCGTGGCGGAAAAAAAAAGAGGGTTTGATGTTTCAGGATAGGTTTCGCTGGCAGGTCTCGTGACAGCGGTTGATGAGAGAGGAGATGGGATAGGGATGGGATGGGATGGGGATAGGGCTGGGGGTAGGGATGAGTCACGAGAGTGGAGGGTAGGGGCATGTTCCTGGACATGGCATGTGATGTGCGTAGGAGAATGGTAGTAGGTGAGAGTATATGTACATGGGCAGGTGCGGTAATCACAAACAATGTGGATAGGGAAGGCGCAATCTCCCTGGCGCGAACACATTGATGGTCAGAAAATAGCATACTTACTTGGTAGTAGTAAGTATAGTGAGTAAGTGATGGTATAGGCTGAAGATGGCTCTCACATGGACACACGGACACGGACACCGACATGGACATGGACATGGACATGGACATGGACAGCGCGACAAAGACAGACAGACAGACACCCACCCACACCCACATACTTACACACATACACACATATTGTGTACACACACACACCGACACACAGCGAGCCGGATTGACAGCCACGTGTGAGGTTGGTTTCTGGACCAGTGGACCAGGGTGCTGGCAAATATGGTCGTGTCCAAGTCTTGCACTCGCTACAATACAAGCACAAGGGCCATGGTGAAACGCGGGCCCCATGAACCATGTGCCTGGCCAATTCGCGCGGTAGGGAGGGGCCCTTTGCTGGCCTGGCCCTCGCCCTCGCCCTCGCCCGCCGGCCGCTTTGGGCGTGGTCAAACGGGGGCATGGGCGGCCATGGACGGGCGTGAAACACGGGTGGCCTCAGCAGACAGCCGTCGTGGTGATTGGCGGCCGGCCAAGTATTGGCAATGGAGCCTGTAACGCAGCGCTGAGTGGTGCTGAGCGGTGCTGACTACACTCGACGACCTGCCCTCACCACTCGACGTGCCTATGCGAAACAGCGGTTGGCCGCCACATCTGCTCGCCCTAGGCCCCAATACTCGCGCCCATGCCTGGCGTCTCGAGGCTGCCCTAGAGTAAGACGGCTAGCCCACATGTGCGTGTCTGTGTGCGCATCCCATCCCATCCCATCCCCATCCTGTCCTGTCCTGTCCTGTCCCATCCACCCATTCCCTTCCATCCTAGTCTCCTACCAGCAACACACTCCAACACGCTGCCCGGCATCCGTGCCCCCCCATTTTTATCTGCCCTCGACGCCCACGCCCACACACACACACACACGCCGCCTGCGCCCACGCCCTCTCGCTTTCGCCGGCTCTTTTTTTTCTCCTCTCTTACCTCTTCTCTCACCCTCTCACCCTCTCTCTCTCGCCTTCTCCACTTGCTTGCACGCCACCCGTCTACCTGCTTGCTTGCTGGCTTGCTGGCCCGTAGCACTCGTCGCCTGCCCCGCTTCGCTAGCCCACCCTCCTCCCTGCCATCCTCCACCCCCCGGCGCCCGTGTTGCACCAGCCTCTAATCTGCCCCGGCTGCGCACATCCCTCGACACTTAGTGTAGCGGACTTCCTACAAGACCCTGCCACACTCACCCTCCTACAATCAACCTGCCCCGACCCATTGCTTTCTCACACCGGCGCCCACACGCGACCATGACCACCGTTGTCGCCAATCCCCCGGCCCCTGCCCAGCATGCGGCACCAGCGCCCGTCGACGGCGTAGGCTCCTCGAGGACATATGCTCCCATTGCGCCCTCGACTTCCTCTCCCCACCAACTGACGCCTACCTCTCGCACAAACAAACTGCCCCCCCACGACAATGCTTCACCTACCTCCTCCAGTCCAGGTGCACAGCACAGAGCAGAGGCAAAGCGCTCCCCTCTTTCGTACGTCGTTTAGTCTTTCCTCCCGATCTTCTACCTCTTCTTCTTCTTCTTCTTCTTCTTCCTCTGCCTCTCACTCTCCCTCGTGCCGTCCAATGTCGGCCTCGTCACCCACCTCCACCTCAATGTCCCCTCCACACAGAGACATCATGTCACTCATGTCTAACCGTCCCTCGTCGCGCAGATCCCGCGGCCCGGCCCCCAAGATAGTCGTCAAGAAGGAGCCCTCCTCCCCAGACATGCCCACCACCACCCGGCACCGACCCCAGCGCCTTAACCTCTCCAACCACAACATTGTCCACTCGTCCGGTGCCCTTACAGCCCGCCCCTCTGGCCAGCTGCTCGATGTAGGCCTGGCTTGCCTGTCACCTGGCTTCCACACTCAGGACCCCACCATGCGTGAGCAGCTCCAACGTAGTCTCGATGTAAGAGAGCGCCAGAGACAGATTATCGAGGCCCGCCAGAAGCACGGCAAGGGAGGCCCATCCGAGGCA